CGTTATTCTAAATAAAACATAAGTAATAGCAGAAATAATAAAGTGTACTTTTACTAAGATCTTCATAAAATTTTTCAATTATTTAATGCTATCAATTTATTAAAACATATACTGTTAATATCTATTCTTATCTCCATATATATTTATAACTACACATAATTTATATTTAACATATAAGTAATAATATATGAGTCAATAAAAACAAAATAATAATAAAATAGAAGGACTACCAGCAAAACAATAATTTTTAATATTCGATAATAAACAGTACAAACATATGTTTTCGATCGGGTTATCAATGTAAAAATAAAGATAGAATTTGAAATTGTGACATTATTTAGCGATTGAGTAGAATATGGGTAAAATATTACAATAAATAGCCTATGAAGTTGTTAGAAAATTTTAAATAATTTAAAATGTTCATAATTAAGGAGCAACACAGGTTGTTTTTTTTGTGATATTTAGTATATTACAAAGATTCAGATTAAACTTACAATAATTTATATTTTCTATTTTTTCATTAACGTTTAATTAAGGAACGAAGTTGTTAACAAAGTTAATCAATCGGGCAATAAAGCTCGAGTTAGGATGTACCGTTTTTACGTTTACTTTGAGATACAGATTCTCTACGGTCCATACGCGACGCGTCGCCGAATCTAACGGTAACGTTGATTCGTCCAAAACGTCGTTTCCTCCTGTACAAGTCAAACGTTATCGAGTTGTATATTTACTTACATCCTTGTGAGCGGTAACGGTATATGCGTTTCGGTGGTTCGTTTCATGAATAAATTATTCTATCACCACAAGACAATGACATTCTTTTTTACAACTAATGACAAATTTCAAACTAACATATAGGCAATTTACTTACATTTATTTTTATTCTTGGATCCATAAAACTTTTTTGTTTTATTTTAATCAAATTATCGTAACTTATTGTTAGTTCATAACAATCGAATTTATATATTTTATCGTGTTATTTTATGGAAATACTTTATAAAAAGAAATACTTAATGTGAGTCACATAAAATGCAATATTCGAAAAATCGAAAGCAGATTTTGACTTATTTCATACATTTAAATATCAAATGTTTGATTTAATCTTAAAATATAATATTTATCTAATACAAAAATAATATAGAATAAAATATATATAAAATAATTTTATAAACAATCTAATTTGATTAGTTTTTGATTCGGCGATTCAATTTTTTCTGTCTATCACTGATAATGTATGTAATAGTAGAGCGAAAAGACTTTTGTCAACAAAAAAGCGAAATTTTGAACAGTATCTAGATAGCACACAAATTGATGACAAAGACGTTATTTAGATGTTAAAATGACGACAAATAATGCCTGCTACTTAAGTAATTTTGTGGTTGCATTTAGAAAAAACCCGTGGCCTGCGGCGGCATAGTTAAACGTTGCGTTTACGTTGCGCTTTTGATAATAAACGTTCAAAGCACCACGAAGCGGTACAGTCGTAAAATAATCATTTCTTTGAAAGAAATATTTAGTGTCTCCCTTTGTCTATCTGAATCTGTGTAGCTTTCAAATTCCTAACCCGCGAGGGATAGTGCATACACATAATAGAACTATTAGTGGATGTTACAACTGTCCAACCACATTCACTTGAAGGTCTATTCAGTTGACACTAATTAAAAGTAACATAACATCAATGTTATAATTTTGTGTTCAACAATAATATAAATATAATACATGATGTTACATAATTATAATTACATTGTTGAGTGCATAAGTATAACATTAATGTTTTGTTATACTTTTAATGGATATCAACTGAACGTTATCCAAACTTCACTTTGAATTTATAAATCTAGACCTAAGTTTTGATTTTTTTCTTGTTTTCACAAAATTGATTGTTCGAGACGAGAAGCGAATTTTATAGGACTTGCGAAGGACATCGATCATTGATAGTATCTTTGAATTACTTAACTTAAAAGAAATTAATTAACTTCAAAGTTTAATCTCTATTTTACTCACCGTGAGGAACATTTGTTTCAGCTTCAGTTAAAAGTCCTTTCCCGGCCTGTCCGATAATCTCCACGTTACATTAATATCGAGCAGACTGTCCTCGAGAGACGGGGTAAGTAAAAAAAAAAGTTATAAATACCGAAAAAGAGAATATTAGAAATGGGACCACGATTCTCTCTTTCGCTTCCTTAAACACCGTTCATGTCACTGCACCGGATGTTGAGTGGGGTCGAGCACCTCCGTCCTCGCAGGTGGATGTCCAGAGGTTGACTGTAGAATCGTAAGTAACCGCTCTGTGCTTCGGCAGCCAGTCGGGGCGAAAGAGGGGATCTTTCTTTCTCTTTCTTCCTCTCTGGTCGGAGATACTGGCCCCTATTCTGCTTCTAAACTTTTTCCACGTATTGGTGGAAAGAGAAGATAATTATTTGATGTAAGAGGGTAAACCTCTGCTATGACTCCCTTTTTCAAATAGGTCGTATAGATTGGAAAACGCAGAGAGCGTTCGAAGTTTTTCTGTACTAGAACAACTAGAGAAGATAAAGGCCCATAAAAAACATCCCTTTAAAAAGAAAAAGTTTAAAAAACTTTAAATCAATTTTTTTATAAATAATAAATTTATTTTGTTATACGCTCTACTATTATAGTTGTTATAAATTCTATTATTATAGGATTGTCACAAAGCTGGAAATCAGAGAACTTTGTAAAATTTTCTGAAAAATTAAAATTCTTAAAAAAGTTCTTTCAAAAAAGTTTAATATGCGTATATATATCACACGCAATTTCGAAATACTATCAACTCAACAATTAAATGGAAGCAACAGTGTTAGTTAATAGTAATTTACATTAACTGTGTTCAGCAAAAGATTTATTTTGTAATTGTTGAAAAGTCTTCGCTGAGATAGGATTATGCCTGTAGATTTAAAAGCATAATTCAATCAGCACGAAGAAAACTTCCAACAGTTGTAAAAAAACACATTTTATTGAACGCGATTATGTTAAATTTCTCAAACAAAATATTTGACAATTTCCAAATAAAAAAAAAATTAAAAAATTATTATTGAAAGCAGGAAAAATCAGAAATTTTGTCAAGAAAAAATTATGAAATTTTAGGATGAGAAATTGTGAAAATCCTACAAAAATTATTCAAATTATAATTATAGTCATTTGAATCATTTTTATGATAATTTCAACTATTTTTATGATTATAATAATTATAATAGTCGTTTTATAGATTGTTAACTATATACATATTTATTGTTAGAACTATACGTATGGTTATTATTACTAATATTATAGCAGTAATAATCATAATTATAGTAATATGTAATTGTAGTAACAAATACCAAAAAATTTTTTCTCTAACAATTTTTTTACCAGCACCAACCATGATAGCTTTATTGCTTGATTTTCGGAAAAATTTTTTAGAGAATCAAATCAAGTCGTGAATAATGTCAAAATTACCAAAACTCTCAGAAAATAACGTTCACGTAGCATAAATCATCTCGAATAAATAAAATAAATCTAGATATCTATGCTATTATACTATAATTTTATATTTTTTATAAAATAATAAATAATTGATAGATTAAACCAAGCAACATTAATATTTTAATCACTGTAGAAAATAAATTCTGTGAAACTTATTCTAGATCTTAATTCTAAAAATAATGTATTTCAGCATTCATTATGATGTAATTTATAATGTATTCAAAAACATTTCCGTATTGCGAGCACTTGCAAATTGCTTTGATAAGATTAACATTTTCGTAACATACATAGAACATATACATAGAATGTTGCAAATCAGTAACTGCGAAAATAAAATTGTGGGTTTGTTAAGTGTACAATTTGATAACAGCGTGTTTAATATCATGAATTCTGTCGAGTAATAGCAAATTCGGTTGAAAAAACAGTACAGTAGTACAGATTAAAAGTATATAGTTATTTATATGTAGAATTATAATGTAATGTAAAATATCTAGCTTACAAGAGAATGCTACATTGCAAAATTGATATAAATGAAACTAATGTTATTAATCGAGAAAGACCACATTTGAAATGGATATTCTAGATGATCAAATATTAGGATTTTATGGATTCTATACCTGACTTGGGCCAGAACATGTTTGGAGACAAAATATCTCGAGAATAATGTAGTTGAGCCCAATAAGATTCTGGATAACAAACACATTAATAGCTCATCTGATGGTACTTTTCAAACTCTACAACTTTTATTTGAAACATTTTTTTTCAAACATGCATTGTTCTCGAGATATTTTGTATTTAAGTTAAAATAGCCGAATATGTTTCGATCTTTGTCGGGTACAGAATCCATAGGATTTCAAGATTTGATCATCTATTTCAAATGTGAGTCAATAGATTTCAATTGATGTTAATTTTTTTAAAATCACTTTTGCAATGTA